ATTTCTGTTCCTAGTGCAGAAAAGCAATTTGAAAAATTACACTGAAAGTAGGCTTTTTTGGGGGTGAGAAGCTATGTCTGTATGACCACCAAAATTATTTATATAGAAGGTATGAGATTCCTCTTACATCTAATGGCTTTAATCCAAGAAGATGATTTGATGTTAAGATGTAGATGTCTTCAGTGGAATATATTTCCAAACATTCACTGTCATTGGACAACTGCCACTCCCTTCTGTTAGCAGATTACTGTGCAGTTCCCTTTTTTTGTCCTCTCCATTCATCTGATCATTTTAGATTCACTGCTTTTCTGCCTTTCTTCGCTCTTACTTACAACCTACAATTGTCCACACTTTCTCAGTCTTCTTGGTTAGCTTTTCTCCTCTGATGGTCTCCTAACTAATGTGAAGTCCTAAAATCCATCTCAGAGTTGTCATCTCTCCTTTACCCACACTCTCTCCTTATGTAATTTCCTTTAGTCCCAAGCTTCTAATGTTCATCCATTAAGGAAAGAACCCACTTAGTGGTCCCTTGAAAGAAAGGCCTGGTGATCTGTTTGTGAAAGGCCACAGCCAGAAAAACTTTATGGAATAGTATACTCTGAGGCCCATGGAATTCCATGAGTCAAGAGAAACTTGTGTTTTGAATATATCAAACATTCCATTTTATAGAGACTTCCATTCTGAGTTTGAGAAGCATATATCCTACTTCCTATTTGACGTTTTGACTTTATTATCAAATACTTATCTCAGACTTAACTTGGCCTGATTCCTGATTCCTTCAACTTCAAACATTCAAACAGGGTCCTTTTTTTTTTTTTGTCTTCTCCGCCTCAGTATGCCACCAACATTAAGATAAGGGGGGGAAAAAACACAAAAGTAGTCAATTCAAATCTTTTCCTTTTTTATCATTCCTCTTCTGACTGTAAAAAACTATTGATTCTTCTGAAATAAATGACTCACAAAAGGAGAAATAGTACATGATTCCCTGTGCAGGAAATATCTAGAATAGACAAATGTATGTTGCTGTTGTTAAGTGTAGTCAAGCCAGTTACTACTCATAGCAACTCCATTTAGGGTTTCTGAGGAGCAGCTAGAAAGTTTGAACCACCAACCTTGCGGTTCAAACCGACTTTCCAGTTTAGTCCTGATTCTACATCGCCAAACCGGGACTCCCAGATAAATGTATTGTTAACTGTTATGTTGTTAAGTGTCATCAAGTCAGTTCTAACCCATATATAAGGTTTCTGAAGAATAGTTGGTGAGCTTGAACCACTGACTTTGTGCAGTTCAAACCAACTTTGCAGTCCAGTGCATTAACACACAAAGCCATACTAGTGACAACCAGAGGTTGGTGGGAGGGGGGAAGAGGGGAGAAATAATTGCTTAGTGGGGACTGATCTTCAGTTAAGAGTCATGGAAATTTTTTGAGATGAATGATGATGATATTTGTACAACACAATGAACATACTTAAGGTCACTGAACTGTATATGTAAAAGTTGTTGACGTCATAAATGTTTTGCTTTGTGTGTATATATATACTTACCACAACAGAAAAATATATAGAAGTAGTATAGATGATGCTAAGCTTCATAATTAAAAACATTTTTCATTAAAAAAATCCCACATCTCATCCTGTTCATCTCTCCACTGCCATCAGTCTTAACTGCACTTTCTTGTCTGTCTCCCAGCTTCCTCTATGATTCCCTCTAGAAACATCTTTTAGAAATATGTAGTTGTTTCTGTAAGATGCCGTCAAGTTGGTTCTGACTCATAGTGTCCCTGTATAGGGTTTCTGAGGAGCAGCTAGTGAGTTTGAAGAGCTAACTTTGTGACTTAAAGACCTTGGGGTCCAGTGCTTATCCTACAGTGCCACACTAGTAGGTACTGAATAAACATTTTAAGTGGATAGATGATTACATGTATTTCTGTTTTTCACCAGTTATTTACATTTGCTGTACTAATTCTACTTAAATGAACTCAAAGAGAATTAGGAAAGAATTTTAAACCTTACTCATGCTTACTAATTTCTTGCTTCTTGACTATTTTGTTTTTATTGCTTCATAACACTGTATGCACATATCACAGATAGAATTTTATTTGTCCGTTTTTATAAATGTGTATTCCGTTGAAGCTACTGTTGCTGTTGCTGCAGACTGACAAGTTGGTTCTAACTCATAGTAACCATGTATAAGGTTTCCGAGGCTGTATATCTTTATGGGAGTAGAAAGCCATATCTTTCTCCCATAGAGTGACTGTTGTTATTGTTGGTAAATTGTATCGAGTCAGTTCTGACTCTTCGTGACCTGGCCTAGGCTTTCTAAGGAGTGACTGATGGATTTGAACTGCTCACCTTGTGATTAGTAATCAAGTACTTACCCTACAGTGCCACAAAGTGACTGTTGTTGTGAAGTGCCATTGAGTCAGTTCAGAGTCATAGTGACCCTGTATAGGGTTTCCAAGGAGCAACTTGTAGGCTTGAACCACTGACCTTGCAGCTCAAACTAGTGCTTCTCAAATCTGATCCAAGGAATAGTGCTGGGCTATGAACTGTTTGCTACTGGTCTGAAACAGAATAAATATAAAAACTGAGAGAAAAGCTTTAGACATATTTATAGAACACTTACAGTAATTTTATGTCTGTTGATGTAATAAAAATCAGGACTTATGGTTTTTTTTTTCAGGTACTTTATTTTTATTGTGTTTCATAAGTTTATTGATTGTGAGAGTGGAAAAAAAACAAATTTTAATGGATCCTTTAACACAGTTTAAGAAGTCTGGTGTGGCACTGTAGGATAATGCACTGGACCACAGGGTCAGTTTGAACCACAAGGTCAGCGGTTCAGTCCTACCAGCTGTTCCTCAGAAACTCTAGACAGGTTACTATAAGTCAGAACCAACTTGACAGCACTTAACAACAACAACGATAATCTAAGCTATCTCTCTTTTAAAATAATATGCTGTTGATGTTTTATTGTTTAATAAAATGGAATAAATAAATTTATCATGTATTAAGAAAAGATTCAATTTATCTTTCAGCAAATATTGATGGCAACAATTTTCCAAAAATGAAATAGCAAGTTGGAAACATGTCTTATACTCAATGCAAGCACCTAAATTTGACAATCTTGAAGAAATTGAGAAAAGTACATTTGAAAATAACCTTTCATCCTAAAAATATAGCTCTTAATAATAAGGACTACAAGAACTATTCAAAAAAAATATAGAAATTTAGATCAAAGCTATTAGTAACTCTACTATCTACACAGCACCATTTAGTAATAGCTGGGTCGAGAGCAGGTTGATGAGGAACACAGAGATAAGATTATAAGGAAATGTTAGGAGGTTAAATCCCATAGCACAGGTCTGCTTAAATTTGGTCACTAGCCTATTTATCAACAATTCTCAGGTCTCATCATAGTAAAACCTTAAGTAAACTAATAGAAATAGCTAGGAAAATCTCATAGTAAAGCAGTTCTTTCCACAATAATAGAGATGTTCCTAGTACTTGGTTCCTAAGAGACAAAAGCTTGGGTCATTCACAGAAAGTTATGTCCCCCCAGTCTTATCAGTCCCTGAACCTTTCATCTATGACTCTTTACCTAAGGAGAGGCAATAGTGACTATAGATATTAGTCCATCTCCCATAAGCAATACTACCACATGACCTAAAATATTTCACAAAGGCCATCAAAGAGCCATTGATGTAATCATTCTTGGTCACTACCAATTTGGGCTGGATTTGATTCAGGGAATTAGAGGTGAAAGGCTCCATATTCAATTACTAGGTCCCCAACTTCCTCAATTAATCAAATGCTGACATAATAGGTCCATTACAATGCTAAAGAAAAGTCCAGATCAAATCAATATAACCACTCTATGACCATAAAAATAATTATTCATAAATATTATTTATTTAAATATAACAACCATCTGTGGTAGTTAAATCAACTCAGTTAGAATGCATTTCATCCTCGATTTTACTGTGGGGAAACTGAATACAACCAAAATGATGATCAAAGTACACTTTGAGTTTCTATAGCTGCACTCTTTGGAGACACTCAAAACTTTTCACATGTGTGATAGCACTTATCTTGCATGGTTTGGTGTCTGTACAACTTGTGGAAGGATTTATCTGGTCAAGAGACTGCTATGAAAAATTGTAAGAATCGTGATGGAACAGCTGAACTGCTAATTAAACGAGGATCTCATATGGCATTTTCTCAGAAAGTCCTAATGAAGTCAAAGCAAAGGTGGGATCTGAAAGATCATAAAAGAAGCAACAATGAGGTTGCAAATCACTAGCAGTAAGTGACTGTTAACATCTGAAGCAATAAAATGTTTCTTATGCTAAAGCATCAGCTATATAAACCCAGAAGAAACTAATGGAAAAGTCAAAAGCCAAGTAATCCAATCTGAACTTTTAAAGACACTATCAACATGTATAAAGTCATTTGAAGAGTTCAAAATTTAACCTTACATGTGAAATCCAAGGATAAAGTCAAAGCAGAGAATACATTTCTCTTCATCTTCATGTCAAAATAAGATACCACCTTCTACCTGCCAAGTAAAGTGAAGATTATTTATACAATGATTTATATTTTTTAAAAAATAGCACTAGTTCTTTGTTTTAAGGATGTAAAAGAAAGTTCAGACTGTTTAATTCATTATGAGTTAAAGTTAGAAACTTCTGAGAGATTCTGAAATCCTTTACTTTGGTGTTTTATTTTGTCACCTCTCTTTCCTTTTTAATATTTTCCCATTGATCTTACCTTTTTCAATTTTTTACATCAGCTGTCAGATTCCTCCTTCAGCTGGTCACCAGGATGCCAGAACTCTTGTCAGACACTTGTTCCTTTGAATCCACCCCCTTGAGTGCTAAAACCTTCTCAGTCTTTTTATTGTCAATCATCATTGCAATTGTCATTTTTTTTCTTATTGACATCTTAGAAAATTAAAGAACAATTCCTTTACTAATACCTAGTATCTCCCACTATTTGTAGGTTGTTCCCTCTTGACAATCTTTGGGGTGTTGGTTAATGCACTGAAAAGGTGCTGCCTGCGATCTCATCTTGGCAGAGATGTGACAAGCTGGTTAGACCATGCCAAAAAAAGAAATGGTGGCTGCTACAATGAGTACCATGTGGAAGATGCAAAAATTTTCCTCACACTTCTCCCTCTCTTCATTTTTCAACTCCTATATAGGCTGTGCATTATTCAGGTAAGAAAGGCAATTAATATTACACCAACAACAATAAAGTGGCTGTATGTTAACAGTACAAGTGGGTTATTACAGGTCTTTCCCATACATCCTGAGGCAGTTATTCCACAAACGCCTGTAAATGTTGTTGTTGTTATGTGATGACTCTCTACTTAGAATCTGCTTTTAGTAACCCCATGTAGACATGCCCCATTGGGTTTTTGAAGCTGTGTTTTTATGGGAGTAAATTGCCATGTGGAGCCAAAGTCTATTTCACGTGGAGCCAAGGTCTATTTTCAAGCGCTCAGAGGGGTCAGGCATAAATGTAGTGAGAAGATACTGGGCATGTGTTGTTGATCTCTCAAAGAACTAAAATTCTTTATCAGTATGTGCGCAAGACAGACAACTTCATAAGGTTCAGGAGCAGCCCACAAAAATATCAGATCTATAGGCAATTACAAAACCTCCCTTTAGCCAAAGGTTTTGCCCTCCTCCCTCATTAAACCTTTCAAAAGGAGTGCTAACAAGTAGCTAAATTGACTGATTTGAGTACCACCTCCACTGTACTCTTAAGTATAAGTTCTAATGAGCAAATGTTTCTCTTCCCACCCACTCTATTAGTTCCTTAGAGAATCAGTAACTAAGATGTAGAGATAGCAGAGGAAAAACACTAACCCAAAGTACCTCTTACAAGTATATATGATTTAAAAAAATAATAATGTGGCTATAGTCAGACTCACTTATTTATGGAGAAAAATCAGGATCATTAAAGTCTGTGAATAAATTTGATACTTTTCTCCATTGCTAACTCTAAATTTGGAATTTAGGTTAATTTAGGTTAATGAGTAAATAATTTTTATACATCATAGGATGATAGAGCTACAAAGAAACTTAGAGATTAATTTACTCCACTACTACTTTGTTGGAGAGGAAACTGCGGCTCAGAAAAATGATTGTTTTCGGGGGTAGGTCATTTATCCATCCTTTGACTCTCAGTACAACGTTCACATTTCTAAAGCACTGCCCACTTAGCCAAATCCAACCCACTGAATAGCCTATAAGTGAAGAAGTTTAATATTGAAAAATCTCTCTCCATAGATACAGTTTTATTGGAACAATGATACACTAATTTGTCTCTCATATCTTTGGCTGCTTACATGTGACAACAGCAGGGTTGAGTAAATACAACAGAGACCATATTTTCACCATATGTGAAAATATTTAAGGTCTGGCCCTTTATAGAAGTTTGCTGCCCACTGATCTAAACAATGCATGAAAGCTAGTCTAATTTAGAAGATTCGTTTTCCTCCTGACTCTACAAAAATTTGTTGTTAAGTGCTATCAAGTCAACTTCAACTCATATCAACCCTATGTACAACAGAAACACACTACAAAAATAACTGGCACCAAATCACAGAACACTAGACAGATAACTCATATATGCGATCGTTGATATCATAAAAAATCTTGATGGTGATTGGTGATCAAGTCAGTTCAGGTCTGACTCATAGTGACCCTGTATAGTGTTTCCAAGGCTGTAAAGTATACCTCATCTTTCCTTATGGCGAAGGTAGTAGAGTCAAATTGCTGACCTTGCAGTTAGCAGCCCAACTTGTAACTCACTCCACTACAGGGCTCCTTAAAAATAGAGAAATATGGGATGTTGTAGGATAAGCACTGAACGGCTAACTCTAAGGTTGGAAGTTCAAACACACCATCTGCTCCTTGGAAATCTATACAGAGCTGCTTTCAAAGGCACAACAATAACAAAATCACAAAGTGATCCACAGTATTGTTAAGTGCTGTCAAGTTAGTTCTGACTAATTTTTTTAAGCATTTCACCAAATCTAGATGGCCAAGTTTAATGTCAGAGACAAAAAACTAGTATTCTTCAGAATACCTATTATGTTTCCTGAGCCATGGTGTGGCATTGTAGGATAAACATTGAGCTGTTGACCATAAGGCCAGCAGTTCAAAAACCCTCTCTAAGCTGTTCTCAGAAACCCTATACAGGGTTGAACTGATTCAATGGCATATATCAACAACAACAATTATGTCTTATTGTTCTAAAGGATGGCATCACAGTATCTAATTTAATCCTCACAACAAGTTTGCAATATCCAATATTACTATCTTAATTCCGAGGCTCAGTGACATTAAGTGATTTGCCTGTGATCACTACACTAATATACAGCAGAGCAGCTATTTGACTCAGAGCTGGTATCAATGCTTATGCTTTCTATTATCTGCAATGCAACTCTCATGCCTGGGTTAAAAATCTTTAATAGAAACTGTATAAGTTCCAACATTATATCGGTATAGAAATGTTATGCTTGAAACTTCTCAGAAAATAAACTGGATCTCTCTATACAAGCAGAGGAAAATTTCCATTGGGATGGTCTTGGATTAGATTTTTGCCCCCCAGATGAAATAATCAGCAGTACAAAGGCGATCAAAGCACAGAGAATAAAACATCATAGAATTCCATATTTTAAATTTAGTAGCCATTATTGACCTTCAGTTCCAAGACATACATTTAAAATATGTTGATATTAAGGTTGATGATGTTGCCATTTGTCATTGCTGGCCGCTCAAAGGTGAAAATGAATCTCTATTGACAGCAATTATTTCTGAATACTCAGAGGCTTGTATGAAATAAAATTATTTAAAATTTTAAAAGGAGATGATTTCAGAACTTGAGGCAGAAGCAGAAATGATTTCAGGCTTTCAAGACACTAGAGCCTTTTCTTAGATTAGGCAATATATTAATATTGCTTCACTAAAGATTAATAGTACGTTTGCCACATTATTAAGTTAACAGGTATTCTGTGTCTGTGATTCATACTGATAATAACTTTATTCCTATTAACAATAATTCTCATTTGAAATCAGTTACAGAAACTTCCAAGTTATGCTGGGAGACTTTCAGTCTAAGAGTAGTTCTGACGCCAGCACTTAAAAACACTCACACACACACACACATCATTCATTTTCCTCTGATTGGGGGATGTGCGCTTATTAATTTTATTGAACTAAAGACAAAACTAGCTAATGTTCTCTTAACACTTGCCATCTGTACCCAACCAAAACAATCTTCCTTTGCTGTCCTAAGGGTAAATTAATATCTGTTGCTGTTAAGTGAAATCAAGTTGGTTCCAACTCACAGAGACCCTATATAGAGTTTCCAAGGATTTAAATCTCAGGAGCAGAACCATGGATCTTGTGTTTTACATGGAACCACCACATTTCTAAATTAATATTAGAAGATAAATTATTATCAGGACAACTTTAGATAGAACTTAAGTGAAAATGCGGTTCATTTCTGTTTTTAAGCAGTTAACTTTGCATTAGCCTCATTTTACAAACGGTGGACCTAGTTTTCAGCTGAGATGCCAGCACAACTCAGATTATCCTGATTCTCTCTCAGATTTTACAAATTGTTACAGAAGAAGAATTAGTGAAGGTTTTAAATGAGAGGCTATCATCTGGATACTTGAGCAGAGATGCTCTCCTGGAATCGTGGTGAAGCAGAAATCCTCATCAGTTCATGCACTGTAAGAAAAATAGTTCGGAGAATTCATTTCTCGAGGATTGACTTTCTCTACATGCTTAGTAGCTCTGTGTGCTGCAAGGAAATATGACATTCTGCTAAAAATGATGATGATGGGATGATTGTATAGTAAAGTTCCTTAAGTAAAACAGTGAGGAGATGCCCCTTCTTTTTATGATACTGTGTCTTAACTCTGATTACATTATAACCAAAGAGGAATTTGGAACACATGAAGAGGCTTCAGGTTAGAGTTAGAGTTTCAATTTGCAATGGCTATTATTTGTAAAAATGAAGAAATTCTAACAATTCATTGAGGGTGTTGTGTGGAGGAGGAATGTTCAAATATGAATTACTAGTTATACAGAGATTTCTTCATGTGGTCCATTTTTGTTAGTTATTGTTGAGTCAGCTTTGATTCTGAGGTGATCTCATATACGACAGAACAAAATTCTGCCCAGTCCTGTGCTATCTTCACAGACATAGGCATGCTGGAGTCTCCTGTTGCAGACACTGTGTGTTTTGAGTGCCTTACAACCTAGGGGCTCATCTTTCAGCACTATCATGTACCATAAAGATTTTACAGGAGCAGAAAGCCTCGTCTTTCTCTCCCAGAATGGCTGATAGCTTCAAACTGCTGACCTTGAGGTTAGCAGCCCTCCTTGTAATCACTATATCAGATCTGTTATGATCCATAAGGTTTTCACTGACCAATTTTCATATGTGTGGCACTGGTGAATGAGCACTGGGTTGCGAACCACAAGTTCGGCAGTTCAAACCCACCAGTTGCTCTTTGGAAACCCTATACAGGATCGCTATGAATCGAAACTGACTTGACGGCACTTAACAACAACAACAATTTTCAGATGGAGATCATCAGGTCTTTCTTCCTAATCTCTCTTCATCTGGAAGCCCCTTTGAAATGTGGTCACCTTGGGTGACCTTGCTGGTGGTGTTTGAAATACTGACAGCATAGCTTCCAAAATCACAGTAATACCGAGCCACCACAGGACAAAATGACTGATGGGTGAAAGTATCATCCACTAGTGCCACACAATTAGTTTAAAAGGAGAGTACAGGTCCATGCATTGTTTCTCTCTTTTTTCTCAAATTATTTGACCCACATTAGAAATGGAGCAAATCCAGTGAATCCACAGTGACACCTAACAACAGTGTGCTCCACACTGTACTCTCATTCGTAGGGAAAACTCATTCCTATCTGTTTTGCCATTTGAAATACATGCTATTCAAAGGATCTGGTCTAGCCCAAAGCCTTTCTTTTGTCATCCATTTAGTCCAAATCAAGCATCCTTAATGCCTTCTACTGACTTTTATTTTATTGTTCATTAAAAGGTGTTTGTATATACAAAAAAGCTTAAGTTATTTGACTTCTTAGGTGTTATCCTAAATATAAGATTAGGGCAATCTTTACTTGCTACAGGAAAAGTGCAAAGGTACACTAGATAACAAGATT